CCCCCCCCCCCCCAAAAAAAAAAACTCTTATCCCTCTGCTGTCGTAAACATGTCTTTTCCGTTTTATTTTTTATGCTATAACCTGTTTGCCTTTTTTGGGGGTTTCTCTTTCCTCGTCTTGAGCCTTCAATTTTACATTTGCTTTCAACACTTTTACAGCATCTCTTTCCATGTAATATTACCATTGATGCAGGTAAAAAACATCAAATACAACTGACTGAGTGATAAATTGAATTTTGGCAGGTCAAGCATTTTTGATGCCAAGGCTGGTATTGCTTTGAGCGGCAACTTTGTGAAGGTTGTCTCTTGGTATGACAATGAGTGGGGTTATAGGTAAGCTTTTCTTCCTTATATCCATATGGGTGCTTCTATCTCACGTTGTTCAGTTTAGGAAAATATCTCTTACTATTGGCTTTTGTTTGATTATGTCATCTCGACCTGCATATTCACCAAGGAAGTAGTGATATTTATATTCGTATTTTGGAAACCTCAAACTCTGGTTTATATCATGGTGTGGAGTTTTCATTCGAAGGATGGTTTTGGCCGTTAAGCATGTCACCCATTTTTGTAGATTTCTAGTGGAGACTTGACATGGTTTTTTGGTGTTGCAGTAATCGTGTGATTGACTTGATCCGGCACATGGCATCTGCTTAATGAGCTGTTTTTGCACTGATTTCACGAAGGCAATCGTTTCTTTGGCTTAGTATTCTGCTTTCTTTTAGAGCAGGCCCATGGTTAGGGAGTTGTTTCGGAATAATTACAATTTTTTGAGACTGGTTACACGGCACGTGGTGTTTTTTATTGGACCCGCATTCAGTTTTGTTTAGCAAATTGTTACTCCTCCATGTTTTATCAACGTTGCTTCAGTTTGTATTTTGCATGGTGGTTCATTTCAAATTGTCATTAAGTTTCCATGCCGTTTCTTTGATTTGCTGATCTTTTTTGTTATATGGTATCGTTGCCGTTGACATTCCCATTCCCCCAGGTGACATAAAACAACCAGTAGAAGGTTCAAATATGGGCATGTACCTTTTTCTTTCTTTAATAAGTGGGGTTAATTTCACTTAGCACCATGAAAAATGTTCTAATTCTTAATTTACACCTTTAAAAAATTAAAATTTTAAATTATACCCTCAATGTTAGGGGTGTCCATGGGTTGAATTGCCCATGGGTTTTGTTACTCGGCCCGAAAAATTATGTTTCATGCTTAATAGGCCTGATAATTGACCTGTTTGTCCAAACGCAAATCCAATATCTTTGAAAAATGGGTTTGAGCCTATCCACAAATCCATTACTAGGCCCAAAACTTGGCCCAAAAACCCACCCACAAAAAGCCCGTTAAATCCAACCTAAGAACCTGTTCATCCACTTTATAAAAAAAGTTAGATATATTAAATTATTCATAAATAAAATTTAAATTATAAATAAAATTATTTATAATTTAATTTTTGTTAATTTTAACTCTCCTTTTAATTCAAATATATAATTTATAAAAATACTTATTATTTTTAAATAAAATTGTATATAAAAAACCCGCCCACAGGCTTTCCCAACAAGCTCATAGACCTACATCTACAGGCCTGCCCAAATCCTAATGAGTGACGAGTTGGACTGCAAATAACCTATCTTTATCTAAAGTTCGATTTAGCTCGCCTAATAACTCACTCGGATAAAGACTTGGACTACAGATAGCCTACCTTACCTAAGCCCAACCAAATAAAATTTCACGGGCCAAACCCAACCCAACCCAACCTATGGACACCCACACTCAATGTTTTAAAATAGATTCAATGTAGCCCAATTTGAGGGAGAAATTTAAGATTAAAGGTACAATTTGCACTTTTTTTATAACATTGAGAATACAATTTAAGAATCCAATTCTTTAAAGGTACAAAATAAAATTAGAAAAATATTATTTGAACCTAAAAATCTGACATAATTTGTTAACCTAATGATGTGACTTTATTAGAACCATTAAATTAACACTAAATTCCAATATTTGATAGAGCTCACAGTCAATCCAAAGATCATAGTAAATTAAATCAATAAATTAGGTCCTAATAACATTACTCATAAAATTAACCCTAATAAGTAGCGAAGAAATCTTTTCTTGACCTACGGACCTCTTCCTCTCTCCCCGGTAAGATGCTGACCCATCTTTATGTAAATATTTAATGCAACTTTATAATTCCAATCACCAATTAGTCCTAATCAACCCTACTATTTCAATAACCACCAGTAGCTATCACGGCAAATAACTAAGAAATGAATTAAATGGAATTTACTAGTTCTATTTTTTGATTGTTAATTGATTCAGTGACCAATACTGTAAACTTATATTACGCATCAAGGCAAATATGGGTTATGAAAAACAAAGAAAACGGTATATGCCGATTCTAGATGAGTCTCATCAGCGTTGAATACAAAGACAACTGAACGAAGGCTCAGGGTCAAGCATCGAGATGAATTCAACAAAGAAATGTTCAATGTGCAGACACGGGTGGTGATTTCATTATCAATATGGCAAAAATAAAAGCCTACCAAAAACCTAATTTTTTGACTTCTGATCCTAGTGGATGCCTAGTTATAGAAGGTATAGTATGTGCAAAGCAGACAGCTAGCTAGTAGATGGTAATATCCCAAGGAGAAAGAAAGATGTCAGGCATCAGAGACGATCCAAAAATAGCCCTGAAAACAAACAACACAGAACTGAGAATCAGAAACATTTCCTTAATCAAAGTGCAAAGCAAAAGCAGCAAGGAGTGTACCAAGTGGCATACACATTCCCGTTCACAAAAAAATACAGGTATACATCCGTTCGACCAAGTCCATCTCCCCAAAACAATTCCAGGCCTGTGTATACAACTTTCTTCATGTCGGTAAGTTTAGAACAACTTTTTGGGTCCTTTAACCAACACTTCAGCCAATGATATTAAGCATGACATTCTAACTAGATTGAATGAAACAGAAGACATTTCACCCAAAAAATCTTGTTCATGAACTTAGGGATTGATTAAAATAAGCCCTATGTTGAGACCAACAATTGTAGAATAGAGGCAAACATATTATGCACCAATTACAATTACTGAACTCTTTACATTTCACACAAAAGAATAGTGAAGTAGAGCAGTTCGATCGCTCACAGCTATCAGCATTAAAAACAAACTTCAACTGAAACTTCACACTCACTGACATCAACAATAATCTCATGTAGCCTACTCCATGTGCATACCATTGAACGTAGTTGTTACACAGGGTAATCTCAATAGAAACGACTATCTAAAAACATTTAATATACTGCATATACGGCAAAATTACTTACGTGTCTTTGAAAATGTGGAATCACGCTTTGAAATCGGGAAAATAACCTTCTGGAACCTATCCTTCTTTAATGTCCTATGTTTACGCCAAAATTACTTAAACTGTGGTTTGGATACAAGGAATCATGCCAGGCAAATGGAATTAGGAAAAGCTTCAATTGAAATTTATGATGTTCAAATCATACAGCAATCAAGTGGAAACGGGGTATCGTTACACAAGAGTTATTTGCATATTTTTATGTTACATGGAAAGTTAAAACACAACTCATTTCCCCCTAATTAGTGACCTGATTACACCATAACTCACATCACATCATTATAATAATATCAGTAAAGTATAATGCATGAATCATGCACAATAAAAATACAGATTTTACGCACATTACCACGCAGCAAAACCCCCCATAAAGCCCCAATTTATCAACTACTCAATTTTTATAAATAAAATCAGAGCAGAAAACAATAGGGTGATTGCAATTACCGACTCAATTGCCGACCATAGGATTAAGCCCCAGAAGCATGTTGTTATCCTTGGGCAAGTACACCACATTGGGAGTCTTTGCAAGGGTGGAAGCAATCTCCCTCGAAGCCTCGATCCTCCTAAGCTCAATCAAACCCATCCCAGCAGTGGAAGTCGCCTCCGAAATCAGTTTCGCAGCCTCACTTTCTCCTTCAGCCCTAATAATCGCCGCACGCCGCTCCTGCTCTGACTTCATAACAACAAACTTCGATCGCTCCGCCTCCTGTTGTGCCACCTGCTTCGCCTCCACGGCCTTGGAGAACTCCGCTCCGTACGACAAGTGAGTAATCGCCACGTCGTCAAGCAAAATGCTGAAGTCCTTGGCTCTTCGAATCAAGCTCTCGCGAACCAAAGCCGAAGCGTGTGGACGCTCGGTGAGCAATTGATCGGCGTTGAATTGAGCGACGACGGCCTTAAGAACTTCATTGCCGATCGAAGGGAGGACTTTCTCGTCGTATTCGAGGCCTAGGGTTTTGAATATGTCAGGAAGGCGAGATTCCTCGGGGCGAGAGAGGAGACGAAGGGTGAGATTGACCATCTGAAGGTCCTTCGTGCCGGAGATGGAGGAGAAAGTGTGAGGGCGAGTGCGAATGTCGAAGATGTAGGGCTTTTGGAGCCATGGGATCAGGAAGTGGGTACCTTCTCCGACGGTCTCGTCAAGGACTCCACGGAATCGGTCGAAGAGGACGGCACGTTGGCCGCCGTCGACGGTGTAGAGGGAGGAGTTGAGAATGGTGGCACCGACACCAAGGCCGAATGCGGCGCGGGCAAGGTTGGTGAGGAATGACACTGCTGCTTGGTTACTACCCATGCTATGAGAAGGAAACAGGAGATTAGGTGAGGAATCTAGAGAGAGAGAGAGAGATGGACCGAGACGGGTTTTGGGGAGAGAGAGAGAAGAGTGCTTTCCAAGTCAGTGGAACAGTATAATCTAAAACCCTAACCCCTAAAATGATGTGACACGCCTCTAGAAGGGGCCGGACCCAAGCCTATATTTGTTAGAGATAATGGGATGCGATTATTTTTTTTAAAATTTATTTAGATTTAACTATCACCTCTAAATTTATTCTTTTTTAAGTCTTATTTTTTTTTAAATAATTGTCAATAAGTATATATTTTAAAATATTTTTAAATCATTTCTAAAATATATTTTATAATTACCTCTATCATAAATAATAAATACCTACTTGAATGTGAAACTTTCAAGATTAGAATACGAAGAATTTTTTTTGATTTTTGTGTATCATTCGACTAAATATGAAGCACCTCTTAGTTACCATTTTCGTTCCGACCAAATAGACAATCCTTATATAAGTTTTGGACTACTGGTTGGGCCGAGAACGTATGAATCTACCTATGACCCATTAAATAGGCCTTTACGGGGCCATTGGAAATTCGGTTACAATTATATTCAATATTTACTCTTCTCTCTCTCAATTTTTTTGTAAAATCTATTAGCAAAACACTTGCTTTGAAATTTTAATACTAAAATACGATATTTTTGAATTTATTTATCAAATTACGAAATTTTTTAAAAGAAAAATCAAAAATTCTATTTTTATTAAAAAACATATTCAACAACCCGCTTTTTGTTAAAAAATAACTCATGCTTTTAAATAAAAAACATTGTACAAAACAATGATATAAAACACTTTAAAAGCGTGGTTTATAACCACTCTGTGTTTCAACTCAAGCAACCTTCCATCTTTATTAAATCCGGAACACCCAGTTCACAAGTTGGGTATGAGAGCTTCCCACCACACACAGCCTGGTTTGCCCCTTTCCCACCAGCAAGGGTCTCACCAGTCTTGGCTGAAATCGTCTCACCCTCCTTTGGGAGTGTATCAATCTCCACATATATATCTGCATTGGCTGATCCAACAACTACCAAAGGTGGTGTATTTGGATTGTGAGTTGGTGAATTTAGGGGTTTTGGAGGCTTTAATGGCGAAAGAAGGAAAAGGGTTTACTCTTTTTGATGATGAATTGTTGTTGGGGTTTCTGTGCTATTGATTTGGGTTTGTATTGAGGTTTCTGTCAGGTTGTCTAGGATTTTTGGCAGAATTTACACAAAAACCGTAAAAAGCGTGTTTACAAAACACGCTTTTTTCATTGCCCAAATTTTTTTTTTCCCCTAGGTTGTTGAATCCGCTTTTAATAAGTGTAATAATTTGGTAAATAGTATGGTATTTTGGTATTAAAGTTCCAAAACAGTTTGGTAATAGAGTCTTTTTCTGTAGCTGTTGCCTTGACGAACACCACCGATCATTGCTCGTTGAGCAACAAGAAAATTCCATCCTAATCCAGGTACAGTTTTACCTTAAAAGAGTCAATGTTGTAGCTCGTGCAAGTATACGTGGTTGTGCGGGCTCGATCCTGCACGATATATAAAATATTGGGAACAGATCTCTCCCCTGGTGAACTCTGAGTGAGCCGGTTGAGTGGCCAAACACGCTGCTTGAAACAGCCTACAAGGTACGATGGCAACCTGGAATGGCAAAGGAAGATCCTGGGAAAGGAAGAACGATCCTGTACGTGTGAAAGGTATTTCCTGGAACAAAGGAGAACAAGTTAGAAGGGCGCCGGAGTGTTTTTCGGCGTATCCCCTCCGACGGTCTAGTCAGTTTTTGAATGAGAGAGAGGAAGGAGAAAACACTGAGAAGGATATTTCGTAGTCGAGAGTTTTTGATTGCATACCCGCTTTGCCTTTTGGGAGGAATATTTATACCTTAGAAACTCATGATTGCTGTCAGTGTGGTCAGTAGGTGATCCTCAGGCACAGGTAGCGTGTGTATTGATTTGATGAGGAATGTCTTCTCTAATTGACTGCTCGGGGTCCCGAGAAATCAATGCTGAGTCTGTCGGGACGCCGACGGTACAATATGCTCCTTTCGGGAAGGATGCAATAAATGCTCTGTAATAGGAGCATTTATTGCCTTTCATATCCGAACCTTACCGCATTGAATGCGGTCTCGTCAACAGAAGGGTGCAATTAATTGTTTGCTTTCCCAAGTCGCGTGCCAGCAACGGCATGCGGTTTGTCTGCTTCTGATGTGACATTATTTGCCACGCGTCCATCCCTTATTGGCTGTGACGTCGGTATTCCAGAACGTTCTGACATTACTTGTGTAAGACGAGGTCATGATGAATAGTCCAGACTGGCATAGGCTGATGTCCAGTACGTCAGTAGCTTTATCCGGGAGTAGAGGAAGCGTCCAGGATGGAGTGACCCTCGGCACCGAGGAAAGGCTTACCTCGGGGACTGAGGGTGGTATGTTTCCGAGGTACACGTGTGACCGAGGATACGTGTTTGTTGTATAATACACCGAATGTGTGATCCTATATGAGAGGTACCTCGGGGTAAAGGACGCTCTTCGCCGATGGTGCTTACATCCGGGCAACACTGTTCCAAAAACCCCGAGGACACGTGTCTTCATCTTA